TTGCATGATACATCATTGTATTCCCCCGTTGACACCATAACTTGCCCCAGTTTTAACCTCCAGCTTCTCCATAAGATTCCATTGACTGCGAAGGGACCTCAAATACAGATGTGTTTAAGGTGACCAAAGGATGTTTAGTCATGACATTATTCATCATTATTCCTTTTGAGCATCTTTAATAATTTGTTCAACCTGTGGATTGGAGAAGTGCAGTGTAGGAACATTTGAACTATGAGCCTGATTACCCATTAATTCGTTCCCCAATATACTCTTTGAGTCATTTGGTCGAGCATTCAAATTTAGTGTAGGAGCCTCCAAGCAAGGAGTGACATCTCCTCGAACGCCTCCTAAAGTGGTATTTAAGCCGAGTAAACCCAGAAACAACTTTATGACAATAGTTGCACTTGATTTTTTTGCTTCTTCTGATCAACTGCTACACCATGTTGACGAACATCAATTTGATCTTGATTCATATCTCACATTTATATTGACTGCTCTTCAACTGCAAAACTATGATCCATGAGTTGTTAAGATTTCCTTAAAAATGTGAAAAGCGAAGAGTACACACAACTTCCATTCCATAAATGTGTAAAGTTTATAAGGACACTTGATATTAGTTAAACAATGACCAAATAAACCAGTCTGTTCCAAGTGTATAGCCAACTCCCTCCATCCCTATTTACTTAATGTGGTGCAGAAAACACAACAAATATCAATCCTGATCCTAATGAAAAATGCAATTTCAATTTAATCTGAAACATGGCATCATTAAAAATTACAAAAAGAAAAAAAAAAGAATAAAGGGGGGGGGGGGGGGGGGGTTAGGACACGTTAATGTTCCAGAGGAAGACTATATCATTGGTTCATCAAATTTTCTCTAAATTGGAAGAACTTTTCATGAATTTCTACATTTTTAAATAAGAAAATGGGCAGAGCACAAAACGGAAAATTGACGCTACATTTTCATTGTGTTATTTACCTTTTCTCAGCAAAAGAAGGCTAGTGTGACAAAAAGATTAAGAAATTTCCCAAAGACAATGTCTAGTGCCATAACAGATTGACACTAGAAGCATACAACAGATTAGCATAAGGCATAAACGATGCCGTAACTTTTGTAGATGAGATCTAATTAAGACATCAGTA